ATTCCATAGCCCTTAGTCGGTACGATATTGTTTTTTCAATTATTGGCTTTATTTTTATAATCGGCCATTTGCCAGACGTCAGCCCTCTTTTAGAGTTTCTATGTGATCAGAAAAATGATGAATATGAATGTGGTTGGAGGGGTTAAAGCTAGAGGAAGAACGAGAAAGATCTGGATGCACCGTGTAAAGAATGATATGTCTATAAAAGGGGTGAGTATTGACATGACGGCTGATAGAGGAAAGCGGAAAGAAAGGACGTTTTGTGCCGACCCCGTCTAGCGTCGGATAAGGGCAGTTGAAAGAAGAAGAGATTCCAAAGTCCTTATTACATGAATTAGAGTAATTCTTCAAAATAGAAATATAAAAGGACTTCTGAAATCTTAAATTGCCTATTGTAATTGAATTTAACGTATGTAAACTAGATTTATCTATTTGTGTGGAGCTTTATTTAACTGCACAATTCCACTCTAATAGCCATGCAACACCCTCCGCTAATGCACGAATGAGCAGGCTCGTCTCTGGATGTACCACAGCCTCATTGATGACCATCCTGTGGTATCAATCGGATAGAATTTAGTTCGTAAAGATGTATAAAACACTGGTTTGAGTAAGGGCTTTCTTGTATGAAAAGATTAAACGATAACCATTGCAGTTAAGTTGCCACCTTTAATTCAAGTTGGCCCTGGTGGCCTCACTTCCACTTCACGCTGGTTTTCTGTGAGGTAGTGGTACTTCTCCGGTCGGACCTGCTCATTCGTGCATCAGTGAAGTTCACTTACTTGAACTTACGCGCCCTACCATAGTTGAAACTTCTTATAATTACCACGACGGTTTTTACATATTATTAATTTTGAAGGTTTAGCAGTTAAGCTAAATGAGTGCTCCAATTATCTCGGCGATCTAAGCTGTTCCAACGTTAGCTCTGCGTAAAATATTAGCCGCAATATAGATTCAGCGAGAAAATGGTAATCGGCTAAAAACATTGTGTGATAGCGTGATGTTGTCTATCATTAGTTAACGTCATACAATCATTCTAAATACGGTGTTCTCAATCTATGTCACACTTATCAGTGTCCGATAAAATATGTATGTAAGGTAAACTACTCCACATTTAACCATTCATGCTCTCATCCACAAACGGAGAATGTGCCGTATCTCTTAAACACATTATTCTTTATTTACTTATATTAACTAATTGGATGTCTCTGTGGTGAATATTTTTTTCTAAAGCTAATATTGCGATCCCAAAACATATGTCATAATCATTAAACGCTTTTCTTGTATTTATCATCCTGTCTAATTATTTTCATGTAAAATATAGCGGAGAGCCCTTTTAGGGTTAAACCACCCTTTCTGATATTGGAATAAAGTACCTAAGTGCAATTTTTTGTGTCAATCGTACAATGAATTTGCAAAAAAAAATATAACTTCAACTTTTACTCTACAACTCTTTCTTATAAGTTTCACTAATTCCATACGTTACTAATACCAAGCATCGTACGGAAACATTATCTATTATAAGGTAAGTTCATGTGACCTTGACTCAACTCATACATTTAGAATAGCGACGACCGACGTGTTGAAAATAACGAGGCGTCTGTTACTGAAACGATTATTGCACACGGTTTCGGTTAAACGATATCGAATCGAACTAAGTGATCCAATGATCTGTAATTTTAATAATGTCTGCAAACTGATCTTATAACAACATAATAATCGTGTTCATATGAAGAGTACACATTTACTTAGAACCCATAGAAGATACATAGGATTTTATTTTGGTAGTTCTTTATAACGTTTCTCTGTTAACATTTTCTTTTGATAAACATTACCTGTATTTTTATACAATAAAATTATAGTAATCAAATATTCTAAGATATGAAATATGCCATATGAGAAAACAATTGAACTACCCATAAAACATACATAATAAATGCTATAGTAAAATATAAAATTTGCTATGTGTTGCTCTTAAATAATTTGAAACAAATACTGGAAATACTAGAATAAAGTTGAAAAATGAAATAGTTTTTCTTTTTGCTGTTTAGCCCTTCCGTCATTTTGGTAGCCAGTTTGTTAGTTTTGGTAGGTAGTTGTAAAAATCGCATGTGAATTGCAGGAAACTTGCAAAATGTTTTAGCTATCTTAGTTGTCGTGGAAATTTAGCTATTTATTAATTCATTGATGCACACACAAACACATCAAACATAAAAATTCATAAAAGAAAACTTATCATAAGGCACTGCTTATTTCAACATGAGATTTCAGCTTTAAACTGGTTAATTTTTTGTAGAACCTAGCACTATTTTAGGTGGCGTGAAAATGTCCAGGCCCCATTACCTTTTAAAATTGAAGTTGTCTAAAAACAGCAACTGGTCTCGTGTTCAATCTACACGTAAGTTCCATATTATTTAAGATTATTATTAAAATCCTTATATTGCTGAAAATAAGACTATACATAAAAAATATACATAAAAAAATCTATTTTACTGTGACTACAAGTTTGACGAACCAATTGACGTAGTGGTGCCTGTCTCCACTAATAGAAAATGTTTTGTGATCAAAATTGTATTTTTAAATGATTGAGTACAAACACTACGTAATCCATTTTAGGTCCATATCGACGAGAAGACAGGAAAGTTAATTTTTTTACGTATTAAAATATTCGAGATGTGAGAAACCAAAATATCTAGTAAACGGTGACCATAGGACATCAGTACTAGAGTTAATACGTAGAGTTGGCTGGAAGATGTTTCAAAATGCATTCAATTGGATAAACGTCTAAGTTTTCGTAAGAAATACATTCAAACACCGCGAGTATTATTTGAAGACTGCACTCAACCGTTCGAAATGTGCACTTCCTACAGTAATGAGACGGCTCAAGTGCTAAATTATACCTCAGAAATTACGTACAATATTTGTAAACACTAAGCCTTTGCACATTTTAGATGCGAAAACAGGACGCAGTGCTTCAAATTACAGTCATCTGCGTATCAAGGTTTTTTAATCTGTCCAGTTCTGCAGTTAAATCTGCAGATAAAACATGACAAATTTTCAGGTTTTCCTAAGTACTCTAAATTTTTAGCCTTCGATTATTAGTTTTCAATTTAATTTGAAATTAAATGTCATTTACAAACCAAAGTTATCAAACCTGTAGAGAAACTATTTCATTCAAAAGGATGATTGGAAATTCATTGAACCACTAGCATGTATTAGATCACTCGCTGTCTTGTATTTTACAAGTCATTTAATAGCATCGTCATCATCAGTTGGAAGACGTCTATTGTGGCCTGTCCATTGCTATTTCAACTTGAAAATCCGGTGAGCTATATCAGTGACGCTGTTTCTTCGGCAAATTTTATTACGCAAAGGGTCTACCAGCATAGCTTTCTTTATAGCTCGTGATTTGACTCCGAGCTTCTTAAAAAAACACGGGTCTCGGAAATCGGGTACAATTAGTTTTCCAGCAGTTATTTAATTCGGTCATATTAGAATGTACCACGCCAGAAATATGGACTAGGAGTGTGATGGTGCTTTTCTTCTAAAAGGGAGATAAGATCCCATTGAAGAATTATAGATCCGTCCTGAGCCATGTATATAACAATTTTCTAGGGTCTTTGTAAATTGTCTCAAATGCAGGTTTGATAATTACGAGCCTCAGCAACATCAACAGTGAATCACTCACCTACTTTTACCGACGATACAGTCATCATGGCAGAAACCCTGGGAGACCTTAGTACTATGCAATCACAAAAACATGGGGGTCTTAAAATGAACATGGACAAGGCGAAAATCAAGTGGAATGCCCATATTGCACCCATACTGGTTATTGTTGAGAACGATACTCTTGAAGTTGATAACCACTATGTCTACAAACAAACTATCCAGGTAGGCAGGTTCAAGTTCAACAAAGAGGTTGCTTGAAGAATCCAACTCAGATGGAGAGGGTTCCCGTATTTACGCAGTCATAAGACAAGTGTATGCACCCAGGGTGTATTGTCAATAATGACGTATGGTTATCAATAATAAAATATATTTAAATTGGACCATAATGAAAAATCGAGTTAAAACCATCAAATATTAAGCTGAACTGCCTTTAAAACCTCTACTTTAATAATGTAGTTTTTTAAACACCAAATAAAGGAGGGCATCAAAGATATTATCTTATTAATATTTTGCTTTTTACATCCATTTTAAAAGAGAAATTTTGATTATAAATTAAAGGCGAGAAAAAGAAGCTACTAGTAGTCCAAGTTTAGATATTTAATGAGTTTTTTATAACACAAGAATTTCCCATATTTATTTCTTGATTTTACGCAAATGTTGAATGAAATTAGTTTATGGATTTTTGTGTTGTCAACGTAATTATTTCAGGGAGCCTAGGTTCAGTTTGAAATCAATACGTAAAACAAATCAATCTGTCCTGTGACCATGAACGCTGAAAATGGTTCAAAACGGCGGGAATTAAAAATCAAAATTAAAACGCGATACAATCCGTAAACTTATTTAATTTAATACACAAATGTTTTTATATCGTATATTAATGCGACAAATATTTTATAATGTTAACATAATTTTTTAATTGCAACTCATTTACAATTTTATTAAAATTTTTCCATAGGCCAGGTGATATTCTCTTTATTGTTACGTATTATATTTATAAAACGAAATTTGTGTAAGAATATTTACCTAAGTACATCATAATTATGCTACTTTTAGGATTCTTAACAATCATATCGTACGTAGTCGTAGTCCCTTATAACCTTTATAAACAACAGGGTAAACACATTTGTTTATGTCTGCGTTTAAAGAAGACAAAATGATAAATAATTTGACAATAATTTAATTGAGTTTTTATAAACATTGATAAAGTTATAAAAGTTATCACTCTAACTCTAAGGTTCTGATAACTTTCACTAATATCTAAGAACTAGTTTAAGCTAGATTTATACACTTTAAATATTCAATGAAAAGTCTATTTATAAATATAACACCATTCACTTAGTAATGATAACCAGACGCTTCATCGAAACTCGGCGGTTGTCGGGGTCCGTTAAATTCTTCTCCCGCTGCGATAAACAACGATTGACTAGTTTTTTGTGCACTTTGCAATTCCTTTTGACCTTGTAGTCCAGTGGATTGTCTTGAAGGACTGCCGCTCTCAAATGTGGGTCTTAGATTCGTGTTTTGAAGGCCAAACGCTAAATTTTTGAAATCATTTTCCGTCAGACGTCCTGGAGTTTCGCTCATTGATGACTTTCTAGGTCCCTGGCAACAAGGCTTTATTCGGCTCGAAAATTCAAATGGAACCTTATAATCAGTGGTCGTTTGAGCTTCTGTGAAAGCGCCTGATTGAATTAGAGAACTTTGCGTTAATTCTTGAAGTCCTGTTGAGTAAGTATCACTGAAGGGTCCTTTCGATTTTTTGTTATTGTCACTAAATCCATCATTCATTGACTCCGAAAATGGCAGTGAGCCATGGGAGAGTGGCTTAGTCCCTACTAATGACAGAGATTCTTGTGAAAGCTGGACTCCTTGATCACCATTATTAAATTCACTTTCCTTCTGTGTCTGCTCCAATTGGGGTGTACTTGATTGAATTGAAGTAGTTTGGAGCTTTTGACCGAACTGTGAAAAATCTTGTTGCATCAATTCACCTGATTCAGCTGGTGTTGACAATGTTTCCGTTGGTTTCTTGTATTCGTATACTTCACCTTCATATTGTTGACTTGGTCTTATTTGCGGAGCCACATTATTGAAACTGGGGACATTTTGAACCGTTACATCAACCCTTTCAGGTTTGTTATTTGTTTCTGACTTTGGAGTGAGATTCTGATCTATGGTTTCTGTACGCTGAGTATCGTAATTGGAACTGTATTTTGGTACAGATATTGTGGGAAAAGCTGATACGGACGCATGAGTTATATCTGAATGCTGTGTGAAAATGTTTTCGTCATTTATTACGGTGGGACTAGTTGGTGTTGGAATGATTGGGCCTAAAGAAGGCGGTTGGGGATATTTGGTTGTAGCACTATTTCCTTGATTTTGGGTTACGAAAGGAAATACTTGTGACGTTGCAGAATATGGACTATGCATAGTTTTTTTAGGATACGAGTTTGAAAATGTTGGAAGTACAGTAGGTGGGCTGGTATATTTAGTTGGAATTCTATTATTAAAACTTTCGGCATTTTTGCTGGGTTCAAATGTTGGAGTTGTTGGCCTATTATAAGGATTAAAGAATTTGACTGGGGAATCATAATAATATGGTTGGTCTGGTTGGGATTGTACTTAGAATTATCAATTAAATTCTGTTTTGGTACATTATAATTCTGCTGGTTTAATTGCATTTTACCGTCACTATTTGTTTTCGAAATACCACTATGTGCCCCCCCGTTTGATTGAAATTCAGAAGTCGGTAATGGGGAGAAAGATGCTTGCGTTGTAAAAGAAGACCCTCTTTGATTTTGGTTTTGAGAACTAAAAGTAGCGTGTTTGTTTAGATTTGAAAAATATTCTAATGGTGTTGTCAATTCTAAACTGGGTTGCAATGTTGAATGAATACTAGGTAAAGTACTAATATATTGCGGAACATCTAACATTCTGTTATAATCAATGCTGTTCGTAAATTTATTACCATAAGGTGATATTTGAGAATCCAATGGAAAGCTTATTTTCTGTTCATTAAAATTATTTGTATTTTTCAATTCAGAATTTAGGTTCTCTGGTATATTCTGTGATTCTTTGTCAAAAGGAACTGCAGAATGTACTGAAGTAGCAAAATTTGAGTTGTCACCCGTTTGTTGATTAAGAACAAAATTATTTGACGGGGGTAAATAAGACTGCTCAATTCCAAATCCATTATTAGAATTTTGGTTGAACTGAGTGGTGCCAAAATAAATGGGCCTTGAAAAATCATCAAGTTCAGATTCAACATCCTGTACATTAGTATTAGCTTTCTTGTCAGATTCTGATAAACCGAACTGCGCAGTCGTCGCATCACTTCCCGTATGGCTGTTTTGTGCTGTCCCTAATTTTGAAGTTTCAGAACCTTGCTGTTCAAAATTAAACTTTTGCGAATCGCTGTCAAATTTGTTTGATCCTGTGCCGATGTGAGTTGGTTCAAAACTATTCCCAACACTTGGACGCTGTTCACTAAATCTGTGTGCTAACGTTACATCCTTGTGGTTATTATTTGTTGAGAATACAAATGGTTGGTTATTTTGAGTTATGAATGTTTCTCTTACGTCGCCATTCAATTCAGGCTTCTTTCCGAAAGCAAGTTGTCCACTATTAGAGCTGTCAGTTTTTGTGTAGTCGTCTTCTGTATTGTACTTGGCGGCATCGTACGAGCCTGGAAATGGAAACGAAAGTGGTTAGTCATTTATCAAAGCCTCCAACTGATTATACGCAAGGTGACAAAACATTTGTCAACCTATACAAAAGGCATAAAAGATATTGTTGTTAAAATATAGTGCAAAAAATATGAGTCATGATTTTGTGTGTTTAGAGTTAACTGCAAACGATATAAAACTTAAAACTTAAAATAAGTCAAATTATACATTTTTTCTGTCATAATAACTACAAACAAAATAAGGTTGAAATAGAGAAAGTAGCTAAGGCAATATCTTAAACAACTTTAAAGGCTCGAAGCTAATGCTCATACAAGCGTTATGGTCCCATATCTGCTTTATTACATAAACTGTTCATATATATGAACATAGATTCAAATACGTCTTTTAACCTTGAAAATAATGACAACAGCGCGTAAAATGTACATATTAACAAGTGTTCTAGTAAAAATTCACTTAAATTTTATTATTTTGTTATTCAATAACTTAATTATTATCCTGTTTGTTAATATAGTTACAATAAGATTACGAAAACAGCATCCGATGGCTGATTTTTTGTGCGAGTTTTACAACTCCGTGCTGATTCTAAAGCTCTACACCATGTTGTTTTGTATCAATAAGAAAAATGTTGAGGTCATGTGTGATACAAAATAACGAGTAAACACTTAGAATTTCTATCAATTCAAAACTAATTTAGCTAAATTTTTATTTTTTTATAATAATTTTCAATACCTTGAAATCTACATGTCATATACGTTCGTATATCGCATAAAAAAACTTATTTTGTAATTATAAAGTTAATCCAATACTTGGCATTACTTACACATTCATTCGTTTATTACTTATATTACATTGCATAGATAAAAATATATACGTTTACTTTGCTCCACTTTTCAAAGGCATCAATGGGAAATCAAAATCTACCCTCTGCTTTCTTCATTATGTAACTAATCTCAAAAGTAACATTGTAGTTTTTGTTTGAGTTAACTGACCTAACCATCAAGGAACCCCCTTTCAAATACTTTTAGCAAACTTCGTGGCCATTTTATAAAAAAAAGATGTTCATTTTTACAATAATAGGTGACCATGGAATATCGTTACATACAAAATATATGCCATATATTTGTTTTGTATATTTACGTTACAATTCCATGCTCATGAAACTTATTTTGCTCATGGAAGGGTCATATTAAAAAGTTCCATACAAAAAAGATTGCTTACCATCGTCCTCCAATCCCGCTGCAGCCTCCTTTGCGTTTTGCTCCAGTGACTTCAGGATTTCATCAGGAATAGGTGGTGGAGTTGGAAGATGATCTCCTTTTGGTTGATAGCCCCCCTCGCCTGCGGTATAGGTGATTTTGTAGAATTTCCCATCGTCACCGGTATAAGAGAAGCCACCTTCCGCCTGGACTCCGTTTATCGCAACACCATTCTCTACCGCTGTTATGCCGTTCTCAGTTTCGAAGGCGTAATTGTAAGCTTGCGATCCTATATTGTTTTCGAAGCGCACTGTACTTGACGCCCGTTCTATTGCGGACTGGGGACGCGGTCTAATAAAGTCTGATGGAGCACTTTGATGGAAGCTATGTGACGTTTGAGAATCTACTGTGGCTTGGACACTTTGTCCATCTATAACAGGCACCTGATGATTAATCGTTTTAAAGGCGGCTTCACCAACTTTGGAGTGAGTTGAACCGTAGGATGTTCTGGATCCTCCCAATCCACTCTCGCCTAGATTTGAGACTCTTGTCCCAGAAGCCGCAGCTTCCACCACAACCCCATCAAATTCGTTTTCCTCAGCCCCCTTCGGTAATCCACTTCGCCCTGGTTGAAAAGAGTCTCTTAAGTTTGGTGTAAATAAGTCGCCAGAACTGCCTCCCGATGTCTTGGCGGTCGCCGGTGGCAGGTAGGTGCGGTCTAATTTCGCTGCACTGCAGACCGCTACCAAAGCGGCAATGTACATCTGGTGAGGATAAAATGTACATTAAGAGGAGTATTTTCGTTTAAAGTGTTTATTATATGTGTTTATAACGTAACCGGTTAAAATAACAACTTGCAAACTTCACTGCGTTTTCTATACGCTCTAGTTTTTCCTCATACTTCCACTATAAAATTGTAACAGATTCCGAAAACAACCTTTTTAAATTATATTTATTAATTATTCTTAAAAAAAATTGTCACGAAAACAATTTTTTGTATAGAGCTTATTCGTATGAAATGATGGTTACAAAACATCGTTCTGCCTACAATCGCTTTGCAATTTTACTTTTCTTGTATCCATTTTTGCTGGAGCACCGCGAAAGCTATTTAATCTTATTACACAACTCTATAGACCACTGCTCATCACGCCATTAATCACTAGTTCCGGTTTACAGGTCAATAGGATTACCAAATTCATTGTATCCGTGTAGAACAGATGTGTCTGGATAGTTCTACAATGATGGGTCAACCCGTACTGTGGTTATGTACACGAGCTTTTGCTTTTTATACCAGCTGTAGAGTCGCCTAAAAAACGTGCCCAGTTTTTTTCACCAAGTTAACATTGCGGTCCGCGATATGCCCGCTGTCAAGACGACGATCGTATTGCAGTGACGGAAGCGGCACTTTTGGAAGTACAATCTTTTCGATGAAATGGGCCGAACTTTGTCGTGTTGCCCGCATAGATCTCAAGTTCAAGTCACAGCGAATACGCGTTTCATAAACGATTTAATTGGTAAAGAATCGGTTACCATAATACACGGGGTTCATTATGATCGTGCGGCTCTTTACCATGTGATACGTTTCGTGATCTGCCATAGTTAAAAGAATCCATGTACCAATTTTATTTTTTATAAAATGCGAATGTCTAAAATAATTGTTCAGTTTTCTTTTAATACCACATTTCTATTTTACGTTGTATTCATGTATTTTACCAAGTTAATTATTTATTAAATAACATAATCATAACTTTACACATGTGGATTATTTCAATCTCACATCCAGGCAAAGGCTTTTTCTGTTCATTCATCATATTCAACGATTTACAGAATAAAAAACGTTTAACGTGGTACTCCAATGCACGTCGGGTAGCGGTAGTGTTTTATGTTATTTTATTAAGTTCATAAATTACTTTATTAAGTTAAAACTAGGCTCGACAATTTATTGTATATACGTAATTACACATTACTAAGTGAATATTTAATCATAAGAACTTTACTTATAGATAGACTTATCACGTTTATTTTTATATATAAATAATTTTTTTTATATATACAGTTCCCGATATTTCAAACCTTTGGCAACGTCATGTACGGGACGTTGCGTTGGACATCTATGTCGTTGTCGTCGTTAATCAACGTATCAAATTTATGCAGAATGTGCTAATTGTATCTTGCCTTGCAGTGGTTCGTATGGGCATATATTTAATTTTATTAATGACAGGATCTATAATTTTGATCCGCTAATTATAGCACCCAACTGTTCTCTAATATCCCTTATATTAGAGAACAGGGTTGGGTGGTGTTGACTTTCAGGTACTTTAAGCTCATTCTACTTGGACTGTATTCGGATCCGACACTTTAGGTATCCCTTTTTTAGGTAAATATGACATGAGATTAGGAAAAACATTCTGTCCCATTATGACTCCGTTAAGTTTAGGTACGGCTGCAATTTAAGATACAGTTAAGCAAGGCCTACACTGTAGATAGGGTATTAGAGCATAGTGACCTCTATCTGGGATTAAAAATCTTTGCATATATCTTCGAAAAATAGTTTTATTTAATATTTTTTTCCAAAATTTGTAAGTTTTCTGAGGAAGTTTTTCCTTCACGGATGAACAGTAACTAAACGCATTACCATGGATGAGATAGATCTAATATATAAGCGATAAAACTAAGATATGAGCAATAAAATACGTAAAATACTACTCTTTTATAACATAATATACTTAACCACTAAGTAAACTAGTTCAATTCCGCTCTGCTTTAGCTAGATAAAAGACTATATTTCGAGCTGGGATGCTACAGAAATTTCGGTAAAATAACTTATATTATTGTATTCATAACACTCTACATATGACCGTTAGAAGAGTGCAATTGATTACTTCCGTGCTAAGGAGAACTCGATAACCTGTCAATCCTCATACTTGTCTTTCGGTGGAGCAATGCTGGTGATCTGTGGCCTAATCTATTTATATATAAGAGATTTCCACCGATAATTGACTCATCACGATATCTCTGGAACCATAAGGCGTACAGACTTGAAATTTGGTAGGAATATTCCTTTAGTAGACCGAGTAGAGGTCAGCCAAGTACGCATTTTACGAAATTCCACAAAACAAAGTTTGCCGGATCAGCTAGTTTAAATATATAAACAGCGTGCATGGTACTAAAGTATCAAAATTTCGTTTATATGTATTCAAAGAACATACCTTTTATAATTCATTGGTGCGTAATATTATATTCGCTCAAATACTGCTTTGTGCTTTCGTAATATTTGTTTACATTCATTCCACTTTGGAACTGAACAAGCTTTAGGTGTTCAGGTGATGTCAACGTATTGAATTTGAATTACAAGTCAATAATTACGGGCATCGCTTCTAAGCATAACTTATTAATTATGTAGAGCTTATAATTACAGTGTATTTCTAAATATGGTAATAATAGGATACTTTAAAGATATTGCAATACCAGCGACAAAATTTACGATTATTAATTTTGTCAGCAATAATTCATCCTGTAGAACGTATTTCTAAATGTGAACATTGAATCAATAATATCCATAATGTGCGAATGACCGATTAGAACTAGTTCGACCCTCGCGCTAATTTAAGTTCACGAACTTGTTAAGGTTAAAGAGATAATAATAATCATAATATTTATTTTATATATGCAATATATATCTATATTTTTATTTTTATTTATAAACCCAACCAGACGAGAAAACAAATGAATATCCCCATAATCATAATAACAATAATAATGAAGTTTATTCCCATTAATTGTACAATTTTTAAACTTAATGCTAATACACAGTAATTTGACAAAATACTATAATGGAACAACAGAATCCGTCGCCGAACTAGGTTGTGAGAGTATTTCGACTTTCGGCGCCATTTTCCGTTTCAATAAAAAAATAAACTGCATAAGGTAAGAGCATTAGAAAACGTGATAAAATAAAATATATAAATAAACAAATCCAGCGTGAGCATACGCCTGCGTGTTATGTGTGTGAGTGCGTGTGTGGATTTTATTTCTTCGCGACGAAGTGTGTATAAGTATTTAGTTAATATTTATTTACAATCATTTTTGATCGAAGTATTAAGATTGTAAACTCTATTTAGTTTATTATTACACAGATACAGTACCAATGAATTTATAAAAAAAAATTTTGACGGATATGTGTTTTGTCTTTTCTTCTTATGCAAAGAATTTGCCCCAATCCCATGTGGGCAGGTGGAGTTTTCATGTGCTTTTTTGAAACCACATATAAAATAAATATTTGTTCAACTGAGAGTAACAAGCATTCATTATAATTTTGACTTCAGCACGTCATGGCTCGATTAATTGAAGATTATTGCGCCCTCCCCATTTGTTTCTGTCATTCCAAAAATAATATTAATAAATAAAAATTAAAAATGCAGAAATTATTAAAAAAGAAAAGCTAATTGAATTCGTCATATACGAACTTGTCTCTTATAGATGCGTAACTATGCTTTCCTCTCTCCTGCAATCAATGTGACTTATTTACTCTCAACACACACTTATTCAATTTCAAGCATCGAATCTTGTTACACTTCCTGTGTACGCATAATGCGTTTAAAATCTGGATAAGACATTCTTAAATTTGCTGCAGTTATTTCGGTTTACATACCTAGTGCAGATTGTAATATTAATTATATTGACGAAGTGTGAAAATTATTTATCATACAAAATGTAATGAACGCTGAGTATTTTAAATAAATTGAAAATTAATATATTTTATTTTTATAAGCAACTTTATCACTAAATTTAATGAAGTGGTTGATACTATTCAATATAAATACTAAGAAAGCTGAAATATCGAAATAGAAATTAAAAGAAGATGCAGTCCAATAATTTAAATGTAAAACTAAAAAACTTATCAGTATAAGCAACAGTACACACGCATTATTTGTCGGTATGTTCAATCTAAAATTTTAAGTGCATTTAAATCAATATTCAAACGTGATTAAGGGCTTCTGCGTGTATCTCATTTATTACACAGCATGTTGTATTTCATCACGTTTGTGAGTCAACTGTCAGGCCACGTCAAATGCCTCGTGAACTTAATTCGCGTGAACATGTTTATTAATTAAGCTATGCTAGTTAACTTACACTGTAAAGAAGATACTAATCTTGAAAATCAGTGTTATAATTAATTTAGTGTTATACAATCTTTACTTTACACATAAAATTATTTATGTAATTTCTCCTTCATTTCAATAATAATATATGTTTATTCTCCCATCACAAGAAAATTCAGATAAGTATCGTATAAAACGATACATACAAAAGCATTCAACGTGTTCACTGTTAAAGTCGCTAAAGTTATACATTTTTTTAGTTTTTTTCCTAATCGGCGTATACACAACCTTTTCGGCAGCAATTTTATTTTGTTGAAGTATTAAATTGGTTATCTTTGAAAAACCTTAGAAAAGATTAACATTATAACATATCACGTTTGACAAACCTATATGTGCAAATATTCTACAAAAATCTAGTCGAAAGCTGATGATATTTTCGAAAATGGTTCAATACCTCTGAGAAAATCAATAATATAATTATTTATTTAAGTTAATTATAGTTCAATAAATCAAATATTATAGTTGGTAACTTTAATTTTGTGAAAGTCAACGACTATTTTTAACAATATTTTCTGATATTACTTGTAGCATATAAAGATTTTTTTTCTTATAAGAATATTGTTATTCATTCTGAATCGCACGTTTAACCTTTAAGCTTTATT